TTTACATTATATACCAGTACACTATATATATACATCTATAAGCCTTAGCTAACATATAATCTTTACTTCATTTCTTATAATAGAAAAACAATTATGAAACTACTAACTAATTCTGTTTAAGTTAGTTACAATCCCTAATTATTCTTCTCAACTGACGACCACATCACTGGCTTCAATACTCCCCCTCAAGCTGAATAGTAAGAAAACATTCTTAACTCCCAGCTTGGTAAGAAAATGATAATGTTGAGCCTTCCCTAGTCCGTTAGTAAACATGTCTGCATGTTTCTCCTTTGTCCCTATGTGATGTGTCTTGATCAAGCCTTTTTTGCAATTTTCTCTTACAAAGTGACAACCGATATCAATATGCTTTGTCCGTTCATGAAAGATGGGGTTTGCGGCTATTTGAATAGCAGACTTGCTATCACAATGCATGTTGATTGGCTGAATTATTATCACTCCTAATTTCTTGAATAAACATGTTAACCAAGAAAGCTCTGCATCACAGTTGATGCCATTCTTCTAAACTTTGCTTTTGTTGAGCTTCTAGATATAGTGTTTTGTATCTTAGACTTCCAAGATATGAGTGAGTCTCCAAATTTCACAATGTATCTCATTACTGACTTCCGAGTCTGTGGGTAAGAAGCCCAGTATGAGTCACAATATGCAACCAGATTCTGAGCCTTAGCAGACGACATAAGTAAACCAAGACCTGGTGCATTTTTTTATGTACATGATCACTCTAATGGCAGCATTCATGTGAGACTCTTTTGGCTTGTGCATAAATTGGATCAGTACCTGGACAGTATAGGCTATGTCTAGCCTAGTCATATTTAGGTATAACAACCTTACCACCAACCTTTGATAGCTTCCAATGTCATCTAACAACTGATCATCATAAGAGCATTTTGTGGCAACATCAAGCACGTATGAAGTGAGGTGTTGGTTGAAATCCAGAGGGCAATTGCATGTACACCTCCTCACTAGGATCACCTTGTAAGAATGCATTGTAGACATACATTTGATAAATATGCCATAGTTTAGAGGCTGCAATAGCAAGCACAAACCTTACATAAATAATTTTAGCCACAGGGGAAAAAGTCTCGTTGTTGTCGATGCCCTCCTTTTGGCTAAAGCCTTTAGCCACTAGCCTTGACTTGAATCTTTCCACATCACCATTAGCTCTATATTTGATCTTGTAAACCCACTTGCACCCAATGACAGCCTTAGCTGGAGGTAAATCAACAATATCCCATGTACCATTCTCTTCAAGAGCTGCAATCTCTTGTTGCATTGCCAACACCCACCTAGAATCCTTTGCGGCATCATGATAATTTTTAGGTTCCACTTCAACTGTATGAGAATCAGGAGACAAAGAATCATAGCTTAAGTAATTAGCCATAGGATAAGTGCAGGAATTGACTACATAATCTCTAAACCAAGTAGGAGCAGTTTTGGTTCTCTTAGATAATCTCACAAGGACTGAAGTTGGTACAACATCAGAAACAACTGCTCGCACATCATGTACAGGATTCCAAACAAATCATGAGGGCCCATTCAGTGAATATTTATGTCTTGGTGTTTTGCTGGTGTCTGATGCACCCTTTGCGTTCACAAAGCTTTTTCGCATTCACGAAGGGTCTTGTGGTCTGGCCTTCGCATTCACAGAACCTTGACCGCAATTGCAGAGGGCGAGGGGTTTGCCCTTTGTGTTCACAAAAGGCTTACTGCATTTGCAAAGGTTTAGGTAGGCTAACTCCCACGTTCGCAAAGCTTGTGACCGCGATCGCGGAAGGTCTGAGCTTTGACCTCTGCCTTCATGAGGCTCAGTCTGCATTCGCGAAAAGGATATGATTGTCAGTAAAGATATTTCAAAAGTCATGGTTTCGTCCCCATTTTCTATTTTTGAGCTTTGAGAACTTTAGTATAGTGATTTCAAAGAGGTTTTTCGACATTAAACATGTGGTTTAGCATGTTTTTAACCCTAAAACTTCATTACCCATTAGTTCTTTATGATTTTAAACATCAAATTCTTGTTTTTGAATTTCAAATTTTGTGGTGTTTCTCAAGAACTTGAACCTTAAGAAAAATATTGATTTGAACTCAATTTTTGACAAACTTGTGATTCCTGAATATGTTAAGTATTTCTATTTTATACAAAATTCATAATTCAACCCTAATTCTCGAGAGTGAGTTTTTGGATCGATTTGAACCCAATTTAATTTCCAATATCAACGATTGTGGTGTTGTTGTTCTTGAATTCTTATCGTGATTGCGTATTTTTTTTTATTGTGTTGATTGGGAGACTCAACATAGAGGGAAGGCTCAAGGGGAGAGTTGAATCATTGTTCTTTTTAAGGCAAGTGAACTTGTTTGACCATTCGTTCAGTGTATGGAACATTGTATGCCTTATTGTGTAAATGAGAGTAATGAGAATTGGTGAAGGCCACTACAAGAAAATGTACATACGACGACATTAATTTGGTGACATTTGAAACGAATGTTGGAAAATAAAGAATTTCACGACATTTAAGAACAAAACGTCATAAAACAATGACATTTGATGTCAAATGTCATAAAAATAATAACATTTGGTATCAAATATCGTAAATATAATGACATTTGGTCCAAAATGTCACTATGATAATGATATTTATTGCAAAATGTCGTTGTTGTTAGCGACATTTAGCGAAAATGTATTTGTATTCTAAAAATTGTCTATTTTAGGTTCTTGCTTTGTCTTAAAAACTACGTAAGGAATAGACGTAATCCAGAAGGTGCAATGTAATCCAGAAGGTGCTATTGCAGAGGGACGTTGGATAGACGAGTTAATGATATTTTGCTCATGGTATTTAGATGACGTCGAGAGTAAGTCTAATCCACCTTTAAGAAATGATGTTTTATCTAATGAAACGACAGACCAAGAGGGTCGTCGATCAAGTAGAGAGAAAGGATTTAAGCTTGATGACATTACACGTGCTCAAGCTCACAAATATGTTTTATTTAATTCTACCTCCACAACTTCATATTGTGAGTAAGTATTAAATCATAATTTATACTTAGTAATTAATTATTAAATAATTTTCTTTCATTTTTTTATTAAATAGTTATGTGTTTTACTTCCGTAGTGAACATATTAAAGAAATCAAGAAGGAAAATCCTCGTCTATCAAGACATATTGTGGATCGAATTCATAATGAAAGATTTCAACTATGGTTTAGAAATCATGTAAGTATCAACTAGCTAAAATATTTGCTCATATATTACTATATAGGTAATTATAACTTTTAGATCACATCTTTATTTTTGAATGCTAGGTCGAGAAGATGCATATAGCAGGTGAAAAAATATCCAAGGATATTCAAATTTTAGCTATTGGCCCATTAATACAAGCAAAAAGAATGACTGGCTATATATGTGATGGAGTTAGATACTTAACAGAGTCTCGTGATGTTAAGAGAAAAACTCAAAATAGTGGTATTATGTTAAAGGCTATCACTCAAAGTTATGCAAGCACAAAAGATAAAAATCCCATATTGGCAGAGGTTTCTTTTTATGGAATCCTCACAGACATAATTGAGTTATATTATTCCAAGAATCTCAAGTTTGTATTGTTTAAATGTAAATGGGTGAACAATAGCAAGGGGCTTATTGAGAAAGATGATTATGGATTTACTCTTGTGAATTTTAATCATCTACTCTATACAAGACATCAATTATCAGATGAACCATTCATCTTTGCTTCTCAAGCTCAACAAGTATTTTATGTCGATCATCCTATGGAAAATGAGTGGTAAATGGTTGTTAAACTTAAGCCAAGAGGTTTTTATGATTTAGGTGATGACACACCAACAATTGAGCATAAGGAAGGACATATGGAGTTGTGGCCTGAACAACAATTGGATGACACAACATTTGAAACTGAAGAAGACATTGAATGGGTTAGAGAAGGAGTACCAGGATTAGAAATTGACCCAGAAACTTTGGAAAGTAATGAAGCATATGATGAAGATGACAACATATCTTAGTTTTTGCTACTATAGTAGTATAATCACTATTTCAGTACAATTGATTTTTGAACAATAATGACTTAAATGTTTTTACTCTTCATTCAGCTGTTAAAATCTCATATGTTTATATATCTTATTATTTGACATGATAGTTAGATATTATTTTATACTTTTATATAGTAGAAACTACTTTAAATTTGGTAGGATTCATAGTTGTTGAGGAACTTCATTGAAATGGCAAGAATAAGACAGAGAAATCCTAGTCAAGGTGAGCTTTTATATGAATTTTCG